TTTCTACGATCTGATCGCGGATGCGAATATTTGAGTTACGAGTTTGGTCTCCATTTGAAACAATGTGGAATAGTTTCGCAACTCACGTCGTCTGAAACACCACAGCGTAATGGTGTGTCCGAACATCGTAACCGTACTTTATGATATATGGTGCGATATATGATGTCTCTTACTGATTCACCGCTATCATTTTGGGGTTATACTTTAGAGATGACTACATTCACATTAAATAGAGTATCATCTAAATTCGTTGAGACGACACCATATATACTGTGGTTTAGCAAGAAAGCTAAGCTATCGTTTCTTAAAGTTTGGAGCTATGATGCTTATGTGAAAAAGTTTCAATTGACTTCATAATGTGTTGTTGTACAGTACTGAGCCTGATTAGCTCGGCATGCATACAACACTTGGGCCTTCATGTTTCATGTAACAATTGTCATCAGCAGGCTCTCTTGGGGATGCAGAGGTGGCCGGTCATGTGCCAGCTCTCGCCCCCGTCGGGGTGGACGTACGGACACACCGGTTTGTACAGCTGCTCCATGTCCAGCAACATGTTCCACTGCACATTTGGCTCCGTCGCACCGGTCAAGGTCGTCGTCCAGGCTAGCGTCCCGCACTCGTACATGCTGTGCGTGACCCGGTGGAACCCCTTGATCATGTCTTCATTCTTTTTCTTGTTGTCTGGGTTGTCGATGTCCACCACGAAGATGTCACCATAGGGCCGCACCGCATGCATGAACTTTGGCAGCGAGATCGGGTCCACAGACACCGCCGCTAGGTCTGCCGTCACGGCGATGCTCCTCGCGTCCGGGCTGAAAACTGGGTGGCTTATGTGACCGATGTCGCCCCCGCTGCTCGCCACCCTGATCAGCACCATTGGGTCAGTTGCCTTCACCAGGTACAGGGAGTAGTACCCTGTGCCGTTATTCAGATTGCCAGAGCCCAGCGGCGGTTTGCCGCGCGTTGATGAGAAGACGATCCATTCACCGTTCGGGGACCACTGGCAATGGGTGTCTGTCCATGACCCTTTCGTCAGCCTCGTCTCCCAGCCTTCACCGTATTCACCCATATCCGTGTCCAGCATTATGTACAGGTTCTTGTGCCTCTTCTCCCCTCCATCCCTCGTCGACCGGAACACGAATTTGTTCCCGTCCGGGCTGCTCGACGGAAAGGCGTTGTTGAACCCGCCATGGGTGAGCCTTTTGACATTCTGTCGTGCGTTGCTGGAGGCATTGCGGATGGAGTAGATCTCCAGTGGCTTCTGGGCGTTGAATGAGGGGCCAACACAGATGTAGAGGATGTCCTTGTCTGGGTTCTGGTTCCAAACAGGGCAGAAGACGCTGTCCGGCCCTCTTTTCTCGTACACGACACGCAGCCCTTGGGTATCAGCGATCCACACCGCTTTGAACTCATTGTCGACAAATGCAAGCTTGGAGCCATCCTTGGAGATGGTCGGAAACATGCCAGACACCCGATACAACCCGACTTCCTTCACCGGCGACTCCACCTTGTGCACGTTCTGAGGGACGACGTCTCCGTGCTGCAGGAGGTCGCTCCTGCAGCGGTGATATCCAATGCGCTGCCCGCCGTCCAGCACAAAGGGGTTGTAGTGGTCACTTTCTGGCCTTGTCTTCTGGGTGATCTGTACAGGTGGCAGCCACGGGGCATTTGTGTCGAAGATCTCAATGTGCCGGTACTGCGCCTTTACACGGACGTCGCTGTACTTGGACTTCTGGCGGATGGTCGCCACCGCCACCTTGGTCTCACTGATAGCCGCTGGAGTCACCGCGTCCAACTCTTCGGGAGTAACCTGGATGGTTACCTTGGTGCTGATGTTGTACCGGAACACGCCCCAAGCTGTTTCAACCATGCTTGAGGGAAGGGTTTTGTCGGTGCCTCGATGGAAGAAGATGACGTTGTCGCCGCCCCAGGATGGCCAACCACCATTCTTAATGGAAGAAGATGACGTTGTCGTCGCTGTACTTGGATTTCAGAAACGCCGCCGTTTGGAGTTGGATTAGTATTTGTCTATTTGGGGATTTTGAGTTTCTTGGTCAAAGGCATCACGCCTGGACATACAAACATGTGTGCGTCGTGCGCAGAACTGCATAGTTTGGATAGAGGAAAATACCAGATCTAACGGAAAAAGGTGTGACTTCGTTATTATACTTTAGTTTTGTTAAATCTCATGTGCCTGAATTTTTCTGGCGTCGGTCAAATTTTACTTTGAATGAGGTCGAAGATCATGAGCCGCAGCGACGATGGTGCCGCTCCTCATGTCGGCCACGCCGAGGCCAAGCCAGGACCTTGGCAAGGCTCGAGATGACGCTGTGAGCGGCAGCGTCCCTTATCGAGGCGAGGAAAAAACTTCACCCGGAGTCGGCTGTGCGAAGGGCCATGGGGGTTCCTGCAGATCGAGGGTTTAGAGGGATGGTCGGGGCAATGGCCAGCAACAGCGGTAGGGGTGAGGTTGGGGGAAGGACGGGGCAGCAAGGTGGTGCCCGGTAGCACCTGCCGGCGGGTGCTAGAGGCCAACGATTAGGACGAGGTAGGCTGAAAGCATGAGTGAGGAAGGAGATGGATAGTGATGATACGTTAGATGAAGATATGATGATCCTGATAAAAATTGACTGACGAAAATAATACAGATGCCTGCCGAAAAACTAATAGACGGTTTTATTTTTATTTATTTTCTGAAGAACGTTGTTATACTTAGCCTCGCTGAGTATGTGTTTGGTCGAAGATAGAAAAAAGGGAGCACCTGTGTGATTTTTTCCTCTCCACCAATTTTTTGAACCTGGATTTGAATTTCAATCTAACAACTCATGTTATCTTCTACCACTGACACGAACCCTAAACCAAAGCACCCACTGCCCCTGGTGAGCCGCATCGTTCCCACATCTGGAGAGGTCCCGCCGAGCCGTCATCGACAAAACCGCCCCCACCTCTAGAGAGGTCCTTATGACTTACGTGGGCTTGCCGGCAACGCCATCCCGAGCTCATCGTCATCTAATCCGAGTTAGTTCAAACAAAAAAAGCCCCCAACCCGAACCTACGAATCCTCGTCCTTTCCTCTGGCTGCGTCATAGCTTTCAACGAAGTCCTCGGAAGGCCTCGTTGGTGACGCTGCGAACAGGCGTGCCGTCCTCAGCTCGAGCTTGTTGTTTCGCTGCTCAGTGCTCACTTCCAGAATCAACGGATAAAAAAAATGTACCTAAAAATCATTTGCCCTGTTAGGAGAGCCAACTCGGCTCTCTTTCCTAGCAAAGAAGAGGGACTCGCAAAAAAAAGTGGTGGTAAATACCCGTTCAATCGTGTGGTCATGTTTAGGTACTAGGTAGACGAATCAAACGAATCCCCCGCAAGAAAAACAGATCAAATAAATAACGTAGCCAATGATGGCTGTAGCTTGTGCTAGATAGAAATATTTGCTAGGCTGGGCATTGCGACCAGCTTTTCTAATCTCGGGTGTAGGTACACCCGAGTTTGGAAGAAAAAGTAAAACATGATCAAACAATGTCAAAAAAATCTGCCATATGTCCCCCAGAGACTCTTTTGCTGGCCTCCATGTCCAGCCATATGTCATTTCTGCACTAACTCCACGTTCAGCCACATCATCCCCCACTAACTATTCGCCTTGCATCCATGACCAAATGGTATTTATAGCTTTGATCGAGATGTTTACCTGAGTTCGTATTTTGGTTAAAGGAATGCTTGTTTCGGTGGTTGGTGACCTGAAATACAAAAGCTTAAGAGGTTAGGCCTCTTTGCACTTGTGTACATATTGGAATCTACTCTTTGAAATGCTTACAGTCCTACTAAACAACATTTATAGTTTTAGAGTACTTAAACCACATTCCATGGATTAGTGGTTGGTTGGAACATGCATGAAAAACAATTGGTGCCCTATTCTCTTTTAATTTCTTAGAATAATTTTGATATTTGTCTACTATAAAACAGGGCCTTTTGCAATATACATATCTAAGATTATATATTAATCCATCAATAACAACCGATGATTTTTTCATCTTGGAAATAAAGTTGTTGTGACTAACCAATCTAATGTAAACATTGCACTCTATAAAGTTCAAAATTAATATTAACCGCTGGGGGTTACTTTGTCATTTTGTTTCTCCAAAAAAAATATGTTGACAGCTACAAACCTTCTCTTAATCTCTAGTACTTTGTTACTACATATGTTCATAAATAGTAACTCCCAAGAAAGCATATGTTCACAATTTTACCTTTGAGTCATATACCCTATATACATATATGTCTAGAAGATTGATATAGTGAAATTTGAGAAAATAACATTACTAGATTTGTCATAATAAATATTTTATTAATTTCATAATCATATATTTTCTTGACTAACATATTCACGGGAAAAGTAATGGTCACAATTTAATGTTGGATATTCTACCCATGTCTAGCTACAATCTATTTACAAACAGAAACAGATGGAGTAATTCTCAAACTTTTGTCTACTTATTTCTCCCAAAATATACTAAAAGACTAGTTATAGTGGTTGAACATTAAATAGTAGGCAAAGAGGAATAGGATAATTAAGTTAAAAGAGCTGATGTTTATGATGAGATGGAAGTTAGTGGTCAATTAGAGGATAGACATGGCAAAGGATTTAGTTTGGTCATGCCATGTAAATCCTGGCCAACAACCGATCCAAATATATATACCTCGTCTTTAGGTGAACTTTCTGCAGTATAAACCTTGTTCAGTTCATCAACAATCTCTGCTATAGTAGGCCGTTTCTCACGATTGACCTCCACACACATCAGTGCTACTTCAAGACATATCCTAACCTGCTCTGATGTATATGACGACATTGTTTCCCGCAGTCGTTTCCCCCAGTTTTCATGTATCTGCAAAGTTGGAACAATGGTGAAAGGCGACACCGAAAGCAAGGCACAAAATGATAAAATTTGTGAAAAAGGATTTGTGTTCATAATACAGGATATCTTCCATGCATGTTCAATAAATTCTTATGAAGACATATGCGCACATTTGGAGTAGCCTTCATCTCCTGCCACTATCCGCACGATTACAACACCCAAACTGAATACGTCATACTTTGATGTGATTTCATATCTCTCGATGTATTCTGGTGGCATGTATCCGCTGCATGGTACATATATAATATAATTATTTCTATAATATATTTTTTAAAGTTGATAATTTAACATGAGTTATCAACTGACGGTGTTCCTATAATTTTAATAGTGATATAGGTTTGTACTGAAGGGAAAAGTCTTGACAAACCAAAATCTCCAATTTTTGGGACCATGTTCTGGTCTAATAATATGTTTGCAGGTTTCAAGTCAAGATGGTAAATAGGATCTCTGGATCCATTATGAAGGTAATTTAAACCCTCACAAACTCCCTTAATAATTTTGAAACGTGCCTGCCAATCGAGTCCACAAGATTCGTCTGTAGGAGTAAACATGTTGTTAGACATAAATATAATGATTTTTAGAAGGTTAGGGATAAATTATTTTTGGAAGCAAAATTAAAGCATGGCATGATCCGTAGAGCACAGTCATACCAGAAATATGTTTGTCAAGGCTTCCAGCATGCAAATATTCAAAGCAAAGAACTCTTTCTTCCACAAGGGCAAAAATATATTCACCATCGTACTTAATGCGTTGATGTCCTAGATTATAGCAATAGCGAACCAACCGGATAATATTTGGATGTTGGGCCCTCATAAGATTATTAAACTCATTCCTAAATTGCGTGTCGTCAAGTCCCGGCATGTGATGAAGCTTTTTGAGAGCAATCTCTTCCCCATTTTCCAATACTCCCTGTTAAGAAGTTAGATTGTGGCATGCAGTTATGTACAGTAGTATCATACGAAATTAAAAGATCCAAGTAACAATCATATGGGTATACCTTGTAAACTACTCCATACCCACCACGACCAATGATGTGCTCCTCAGAAAACTTATCGGTAATTTGTTCCAAGAATTCGAGTGTAAACTCCCTTGTGGTCGCGCTTGTGTGTTCGAAATTGTTCTCCATTGCATCCTATATTTCCTGCTAGTATTGACTAGCTTGGCGTTTCACCTCTCTGATAACATGGACAACACATTTTACAAGTTAAGGGGGGAAAATATGAGTTGAGAAAAATAAATACATTTAGCATAAATACAAATTCTTCGCAGAGCGTCAGAAACGCCGCATCCAGGCCACGGCGACGGTTCCAGGGGAGGAACCCTTGTCGGCCGGCATCTTCCTCCTTCCCCTCCGCCTGCCCAGGCGACGGCGACGGTTGGCGGAGCTGCGGTTGGCTACAGGCAGAGGCTTGTGGAGGCGGCTGGTGAGGAAGATGTGCGTGGATCTGGGGACTTTGCCGGCAGCCCCGACGGCGGCGAGCTCGCGGATTTCAGAAACGCCGCCGTTTGGAGTTGGATTAGTATTTGTCTATTTGGGGATTTTGAGTTTCTTGGTCAAAGGCATCACGCCTGGACAAGTACAAACATGTTTGCGCCGTGCGCGGAACTGCATAGTTTGGACAGAGGAAAATACCAGATCTAACAGAAAAAGGTGTGACTTCGTTATTATACTTTAGTTTTGTTAAATCTCATGTGTCTGAATTTTTCTGGCGTCGGTCAAATTTTACTTTGAATGAGGTCGAAGATCATGAGCCGCAGCGACGATGGTGCCGCTCCTCATGTCGGCCACGCCGAGGCCAAGCCAGGACCTCGGCAAGGCTCGAGATGACGCTGTGAGCGGCAGCGTCCCTTGTCGAGGCGAGGAAAAAACTTCACCCGGAGTCGGCGGTGCGAAGGGTCATGGGGGTTCCTGCAGATCGAGGGTTTAGAGGGATGGTCGGGGCAATGGCCAGCAACAGCGGTAGGGGTGAGGTTGGGGGAAGGACGGGGCAGCAAGGTGGTGCCCGGTAGCACCTGCCGGCGGGTGCTAGAGGCCAACGATTAGGACGAGATTGGCTGAAAGCATGAGTGAGGAAGGAGATGGATAGTGATGATACGTTAGATGAAGATATGATGATCCTGATAAAAATTGACTGACGAAAATAATACAGATGCCTGCCGAAAAACTAATAGACGGTTTTATTTTTATTTATTTTCTGAAGAACGTTGTTATACTTAGCCTCGCTGAGTATGTGTTTGGTCGAAGATAGAAAAAAGGGAGCACCTGTGTGCTTTTTTCCTCTCCACCAATTTTTTGAACCTGGATTTGAATTTCAATCTAACAACTCATGTTATCTTCTACCACTGACACGAACCCTAAACCAAAGCACCCACTGCCCTGGTGAGCCGCATCGTTCCCACCTCTGGAGAGGTCCCGCCGAGCCCTCATCGACAAAACCGTCCCCACCTCTAGAGAGGTCCTTATGACTTACGTGGGCTTGCCGGCAACGCCATCCCGAGCTCATCATCATCTAATCCGAGTTAGTTCAAACAAAAAAAGCCCCCGACCCGAACCTACGAACCCTCGTCCTTTCCTCTGGCTGCGTCATAGCTTTCAACGAAGTCCTCGGAAGGCCTCGTTGGTGACGCTGCGGCCAGGCGTGCCATCCTCGGCTCGAGCTTGTTGTTTCGCTGCTCAGTGCTCACTTCCATAATCAACGGATAAAAAAATGTACCTAAAAATCATTTGCCCTGTCAGGAGAGCCAACTCGGCTCTCTTTCCTAGCAAAGAAGAGGGACTCGCAAAAAAAAGTGGTGGTAAATACCCGTTCAATCGTGTGGTCATGTTTAGGTACTAGGTAGAGGAATCAAACGAATCCCCCGCAAGAAAAACAGATCAAATAAATAACGTAGCCAACGAGGGCTGTAGCTTGTGCTAGATAGAAATATTTGCTAGGCTGGGCATTGCGACCAGCTTTTCTAATCTCGGGTGTAGGTACACCCGAATTTGGAAGAAAAAGTAAAACATGATCAAACAATGTCAAAAAAATCTGCAATTTGGGGACATGAAACTTCATCAAATGTTCAAGCTTTTTGCAAAAATTCAGCGAAAAAAAACATCAGAGGAGCTCTCGGCAAAAAAAAATCAATGTTCTAAGTATGCGCACTGTTTGAGCATTTTTTTTTTTTTTGGTGAGAGCTCCTTGGATGTTTTTTTTAGCTGAAACTTTGCAAAAAGTTCAAACACTTGATGAAGCTTGTTGTCTCAAGATTTCAGATTTTGTGGACCTTGTTTTATCACATTTTTTGAAGTTTTACAAACTCGGGTGTACCTACACCCGAGAGTAGCCACAACTTTCGGCTGGGCATTGGAATGGAAGGTCCAGCACACCTGTAGTGTGCATACACGTCGAGAAACAGAGCCAGAAGAGCCCGAACATGAAGAATTCCAATAAACCTAGTGAAAAAAATGAAAGCAAGTGGGGTTTGGCTTATCTCATACTCTGTATCTCCACAAAAGAGACCCGCATCCAGCTTACAAGAGCTTTAACATAGAGATCAAAAATAAACAACAAATTAGCATAACAGAGCAAGTTTTGCTGCAAAGAGCATGATAACTACTTGTTGCAAAAGCTCTGAGGGAAATCCTCCAAGAAACTCAGGAAGCAGCGCACACAAAAGATCAACTCTAGCTGCCAGTATCGTAGGATTCTAGGCTTCTAGCCGTGACTCCGAGCACAAATTGAGGCAAAAATAGAAAGGCTAATTTAGCAGTTGAAATTAGGCAAGGTTATGCGTACACTTTGGTCTTTGAACTTACCTGCAGGAGATCTCCAAGATAAGCTGAATTCCAGAGGCAGGGAGGGACGGAGGGGTTATGGAGGATATGTAATAGAGGATCTCGTCCAGCTAGCAGTAGAATAGTTCATTCGTAAGTGACTGGATTGGATTGGATGTACTAATACAAGTTTTTTTCTTACCTTCAATGATGATACCGTGTTTTCTCTGTTTGGTAGTAAGCAATGAAGCAGCCGCGGACGCGTTGCCTCCTCGAGGTCAGGCGACCGGGGCAATATTTCCGTCCTATCGTTGAATACCCGGAGACTCGCAGGCCTGACCACTTGCGGCGTCCTCCGTTCATGCTTGAACACGGTTACGAACGATGACGAATAAATGCGTCCCCAGCCTGCGTTCATATGAGCGTGTATGTGTGCATCAGTGCATGTATGTGGGTGTCCGTGTTTGTATTATGTTAAACTATAATGGTTGGGCGCCTTTAGGCTAGCCATAGTGGGGGTAACATAAGACTAGCTATAGTGGGAGTAACTTCAGCAGTAACATCGAGTCTAACTCAGCAAATTTGCTTATGTGGCAGTGAGTTAATGAGGAGAGAGGTAGTTATAGTAACTTAGCTAGTTACTGTAACATCACATGTCTCAATACAATATGAGTCTATAACCTAATAAATGAAGCTTTGCATGTTACCACACTTATGTTACTACCCACTATGAAGGTAGTAACATAGTCTAGGGATATGTGTATGTTACTAGTGTATGTTACTTAACATTGTGGCTAGTCTAAGTAGTACTCCCTCCGTCCAGGTGCATAGGGCGTCTAACGAAAAATTAGTATTCCAAATATATAAATCACCATGCGTGGAATAAGTTCCTCATTCTTCATGATCATTAATTTTCATTTTGCATGCTAACATTTTCATTGGTTGGCACATTTAAATAGGAATTGCATATTGCTATTTAGGAATTAATGGCATGGGAAACCAACGTTGTAGTTGGCTCCTCCCAATTTTCCAAATCGGCTAAATAGGAATCATTATTGTCATTGATTTTTGGTTTAGTCTTCTCCATCAATCTCCACATACCTAGGTTGCGATGCAGCACCTTAGATGCCCTATGCACCTGGACGGAGGGAGTATCATATATACTCGGGACTCGCGAACATTCTTATGTGGCAGGCAATTAAAGAAGAGAGAGATGGGTATAGTAACATAGGTAGATACCGTAACATAATAAATGTGGTGCTACTATGTGTCATGCATGGCAATAAATGAGACCACCTATGATACTAATCTATGATGCTATGCACTATAGTGGTAGTAACATAGACTAGTAACATATGCATGTTACTACTCTAAGTTACTCCCCACTATGACCAGCCTTACTGCACCGCCGGTTTCCTTTGGTTTCTTTAGTGTAGTTTGGTTTCTTGAAAAAATAATCATTGTTTCAAAATATAAGATGTATTATCTTTTTGAAAAGCCAAAAACATTTTATGTTTGCAAATTTGTAGAAAAATGTATCAAACTTCATAATATCAAGGAGGCTGTCGTGGCCCTCCGGCAACCTTGCGCCGCTGGAGGGACGACGAACGTCGATGGCGGTGCAGCAGGACAGGGCGGCCACACTTACGGACGAGGATCCCCTGCCATGGACTAGCCTACCTTTGATTCACTGACAATGGGTCCCACTAAGCACGGGGCCCACCTGTCAGTGACCCAAAGGCAGGGTATGGTAGGGATTTCTAAGTCAGAGGATCCATGTCCCACACTTACAATGTGGTCGCCTATAGGGTTTAGTTTGTTTTTATACAGTTTTTCGTAAAACGATCGAAATATCGTTCATTTATGTAAATTATATCTGAACTTGAATGAAATCTGTCTGGTTTGAACCAATTTCGTTTCATTAGTTCAAATTGTTGGCCAAATATATATGGCTATGGCTGGATGACAAATGATGCTACTAGAGCATTCCCTCCTAAAGCTTCTGCCGAGTAAAGCTGTTAATTCAAAGCTTCCACCAAATGAAGCTTATAATTAGAAGCCTCTTGTTTAGCTTTGGCGGAAGGCTACTAATCCAATGTTTGAACTAGCTTCCGCCAATGAAGCAAGTAGACCAGTAGCTTGCTTAAGCATTTGTACTACATGCCGCTAAATAAACTAATAGCGAGCCTACTTGCTTCCGCCAAATAAGCATGTGAAGAAGAAGGAAGGAAAAAGTAATTATAAAACAAAGTGATTGGTGGTATAGAACCAAATTTCCCTAATGGTGTTGGGATGGTACTTTCATGAAGTCCCTTTAGTGGTATAGAACCAAATTTCCCTATAAACACTGATGGGGAGAAAAGGAGTAA